GAGGGACGCGTGGGCAGAAGAGCGCGCGATTGGCAACTCTCCGGAAGATGCGAAAAGCGCGACAGAAGAGGGATGCCTTTAGCCTGGGATGGAGATCGATGACGGGCTCGACGGGCACGACGGCGCAGCCCAAGCGGCCTCCCGCGCTCCCGCAGGCCGCGCCAGGAACCCCCCCCCTGGCGTGAGTCCTCCTCGCGCTCCGCTTCCACCGCGCTCGGGCCGAGCCCCACCCAGACGTCTGCGTTCACCCGCTCGCCCAGCTGCTCTGTCTTCGCCCGTCGAGTGGGCTCTTCGCCCGGTTGCTTGACAGTCGTTTCGCCGCGTGCCTCGGGCTCCTCGCCCGTCCCTCCTCGTCCTCCTCCTCCTCCCCGGCCGCGCCGCCACGGCGCTGCCCCCCCCCCATGCCCTCCCGGCGGCCCGTGCTGCGCTTGGCTTCGGTGCTCCTGCAACGGTCCTCATCACGCTGCTGTTCGGTACGGGGTGCTTGCGGGAACCTCTATCCCGCGTGGCCAGCTGAACGTCGCCATTTCTCCTCAACTGCCACCCAGCCTTGGGTTACTGGTTACTGTGCTGTTTTGTGTGCTGGGCTGCCTTTCAGTTTCCGTTCAAGGTCTTGCTCTGCACGGCCTGCATATCTGGGTGTCCCGTCCTTTTCGACTTTCCACCCGGAAGATATCCAGGCACGCCCCGGCGTTGCACCCTGTCTTTCACTCGGCCACTTCTCAGCCATCTGACTCAAAGGGCTTCCATTCCAAGTTCGGTCTACCTCTCGAGCCACGTTTTTGGCGTTCTTCTTCTTCAAGGTCTACAGTCGGGGCGTTGACCTAAGAAACCCTAAATAAGGAACGAGGCCCCTTTTTTCCATAAGTTAAACTTCGATTTCCGATCGAAAACAGACGGAAAACCTGAGGCAAGCTGCGAAACACTTTAGGAACGCAGAGCCCCTCCCCAACGAAAAGGGTCCCTTCTTCAGGGTCCCGACTGTCCCTCCTCACGCTGGCGGCCCCGCCGATCGGACGCAGCTGCATGTACCCCTTCGGCACTCCTGCGCTGGCCTGCGCGGTCTGGTCGGGCCCCATCCTTTCCTTCTCTTCCCCTTTGCCTCTTCGCCTCGAGCCTTTTGATTCGCTTCTGGTGCAGTCCACCGTTCGCTTCGACCAGCGCCTGACCGTCTCGCACACCCTGGCGCCCGCGGATTCAAAACAAAAAAACATACCTCCCTGGCCGAGACAGGAGGGAGTACACACCGCCCCTGGGACCCGATCCTCATCCTCCTCCTCCTCCTCCTCCTCCTCCTCCTCCTCATCCTCCTCCTCCTCCTCCTCCTCCTTCTCCTCCTCCTCCTCCTCCTCCTCCTCCTCCTCCTCCTCCTCCTCCTCCTCCTCCTCCCCTCCCTCCTCCTCCTCCTCCTCCTCCTCCTCCTCCTCCTCCTCCTTCCCCTCCTCCATTCCTTTTCCTTATAAATAACTTCTCCCTGTCGCACCCCGAGGCCAGTTTGTAGGGCGGGCTGGGCGTTTCGCCTGAGACTTCCTCACCACTGACGACCATGAAGCTCAAAAATTAGCAACACTTTCACAAATGCAGGGCAGGTGGTTTTCAACATGTGGCTCCTGCCTTAGACCCGCGCACGTTCGTTTTGAAAATGTATAAGGCTTTCACGGATTGAGGGCGACCCGTTTTCAAAATGAGGATCTTGCCTTAGCGCCGCGCAGAATCGTATACAAAAAAACAAAAGTTTCACGGATTGAGGGCGGTTCCTTTTCAAAATGTGGCACTCGCCTTAGCGCCACGCACATTCGTTTTAAACATTTGCAAGGAGTTTCACGGATTGAAGGCGGTTCCTTTTCCTCCATCCTCGTCCTCGATCCTCCTCCTCGATCCTCCTAAATCCTCCTCCTCGATCCACCTCCTCCTACTCCCCCTCCTCGATCCCCCTCCTCCTCCTCTTCCTCCTCCTCCTCCTCCTCCTCCTCCTCCTGCTCCTCCTCCTCCTCCTTCTCCTCCGTCTCCTGCTCCTCCTCGATCATTATCCTCGATCCTCCTCGATCCTCGGCATCGGTCCTCAAGAATCTGGGCCCTCGAGGTGGCTCACGGGGTGTCCCCCCCAGCCACGGTGCTGTCGCGGCACCAGATGGTCATGGCGAAGCGGTCGCGCCGCGCCGGCAGCACCTCGTGCGGGCACTCCTCGGTCGCCCAGAATAGCAGCAGGCGGCCAGCCAGGGGGGCCACGTCCGCCCTGACCTGGGGGCCAGCAGATCCACCCCCGATCCCGACCCCAACACCACAGGGCGATCCCTTCAGTCAGGACCCAGAATGACGGCACGGCCGGAGCAAGGACAGGAGAACAGCCTCCACGAACATGAGACCCTCCGCCGGCCAACCTGAAGAACCTTCGAGAGTGCCCTCCCCGAGGACGCACCAGAGCATCCAACCATCACGATGAACCTTAAGGGTACCCTCCCCGAGCTCGATCTTCTACCTCGGTCCGACCGCACGCAAGAAGGATGCAAGCCCCTTGGACGCCCGTGTCGAGGCTTCTCCAGCGGGGCCGGCTGGGGTCACGAGCGGGGGCGGGGGCGAACCGCCCTCGCCCTGGCGGCCTGCGTGTTGTGGAACCCCTCCTCGTAGAGGCGCAGCTGCCCGCCGTCCTCGGCAGACCAGCCGCGGTTGAGGTACAGTATGGCCGTCAGGGCGGCCCCCCGCCCCGTGTCGCAGTGGCGCAGGTACCTTCCGCGGGCCTCGCCAGGGTAGCACGCCACCATGGTTCGGGTTGACCCTGAAGGGGGTCGGGCGACAGGGAGGTGGTGCAATAGAGTCGTGGGGCTGCAAAAGATCTGGGGCGTGCCATACATTCCAGGGCGCAAATGTATGGCTGGATTTCCGCGTGCAACACACTAGCTGCAATAATGCAATACCATTCCCCAGAGCAATGCATTTGCAATACACACGCCCAAAATCTATTGCACCACCCCCTTTCAGCTGGACCCTTTTGGTAGGTGGATCTATCAAGCTCTCCGCCGCCTCTGGCGGTGTGCGTTGCGAGCAGGAGCACAGTAAAGCCACAGGAAAGCGCGGCATCGACAGTGCAGTTCCGCACACGTGACACGTGTTAAGGAGCAGGAACACAGCAAAGCCCCAGGAGAGCAATACACTTGCCCCCAATCTATTGCACCACCCCCTTTCAGCTGGACTGGCGGTGGACAAACCTCCCTTTAGTAAACCTCCCCTTAATGAACTGCCTGGGACCGAAACCGACGGACCTGGACCCGCAAAAATAACGGCCGCGACGCCCTCGCGAACCGAAAACGGCCAATTCCTTAATCGACCTGTCAGGGTAGGAGGTCTATCCACCTCCGACTGGACCCCCTCTTGGGTCGACCAGGATGGTGCTCTCGCGGAAGTGGATGCGGCCGATCCGCTCGGCCACCGACGCGTCTCCGCCCGCGGCGCCGCCGCCCCCGAGCGCGGCCAGCAGCGCGTCGAGGGCAGAGGTGAAGGGCCGCAGCTCTGCTGCTCGCTGGTCTTAGGTCGGGCATGTCCCCCTATAGGCGGACTCTGGACTCGCCGAAAAAAAATGCTCCAAGATTGTCAGAAACATCGTCCCCAGATGCCCCCAAAATGAACAACGAATGCTGGAACGTTGACAAAGCAATCGTCCCCAGACTATTTTTCATTTATTTTTGAACATTCCCCCTGTAGAGCGGAAGGCCCGACGTAACGCTGGTCGTCGCCGCCTATCCACGCACGGTAGTCCCCCTCCATCGCCCACTGGCGCTCCGGCCCGCGCCGGTTCTGGAAGTCCCCCTCGTTGCCCGTGCCCCAGTAGCCGCCGTGGCCGCCCTGCTGCTCGTCCACGCCCGCGCGCATCTGCCGCAGCGCAAACAGCCGCCTCGCCGACTCGCCGAGCGCATCCACCTCGCTCTCAGGCAGCAGCCCGTCCACGAGGGCGAACTTGTCGGTGCCCAGCGAGCGCGAGATGGTGCCGAGGGCCTCTGGGTGCAGCCACCACCAGCGGCGGCTGCCTGCCCGCAGGCGGACTCGCTCGAGCGGGTCGAAGTAGGCCGCCCGCAGGCGGGCCCTCTCCTCGCGGGAGGGCAGCCTCACGGTCTTCCGGTACAGCAGCTCGAAGAGCAGGGCCTTCGGGTGCTCCTGGCAGCCGGCGAGGAAGACGCCCGAGGCGAGGACCGCCGAGAGTCGGAGAAGCAAAAACGGCACAAACCTCAACGTTCGAAACTCTGCGCGGATGTCTCGGATCGGCGCTGGGGCACCCCTGGCGGCGCCTATGGCGCCGCCCCTGGCGCGCTCCGCGCGCAAGTGAGGGGGCCCTGGCGTCAGTCCAAGACTTCCGCACGGAGCTCCGAAAACTTGGATGCCCATGGCGCTCTTTGCTCCTGGAGGCGAGGCTGCGCCGCTGGCAGAAGTGCTCCCGGCAGCGCCGGAGACCCGGGTCGGAGGCGAGCAGGCCCGAGAGCGCGCGGGCGTCGTGGACCTCGACGAAGTGGCAGAGGCCGGGGAACTCGGCCCGGATGGCCCTCGCCTGCAGCGCTGTCCTGTGGGCATCGTTGGATCGGCCCCCGACGTGCCCGCCCGAGCGGGGCTGTTAGTATGCCTGCGCATTTCGGCCCTCGCGGCGCCTGCCCCCCCCTGGAAGGGTCTGGCCGGTGGGGCCGAGAAGCCATGGCCCGGTGGGGATGGGGATGGGTGAGACGAGGCTGATGCTGGGCACTGCTGGCGACTCGAGCCATCTTCTGCATCTCCCTTGGGGGGCGGCATTTCTGTGGCCCCCCTCGGAGCCATCTCCGGCAAACTTGCTCGCCGGGGCCTCCTGGCGCCCCCACCTGCTTTTCGTTCCGTCTCAGCCCGGAGACGAGGTGGAACGTGAGGGGGGATCTGGCTCAGGGGGGGTCAGAGGGGGAGGGAAACATCGAGCTGGAATCGACGATGCCTCGCCGACGAGCTGGCATCGGCGACGCATCGCCGATCTGGGCGCCAGGCCCACGACGGCGAATCCAGCTGGTCCTGGGAGGGGTAGGGACATCGGGCCCCTGTCGGCGATGAGTGGGCAATTGGGGGTCGATGCGTCCGTCCATCGTCGTGAATTTACTGCGACGCGACCACGTCCGGGGATAGATTAGGTGATGCTGTTGGGTCAGCCTTCATGGGAGCCTCTGACTTCGAGCGGATTTCGACGCGATTTCGACCACCCACCTTCACCCTTTGTCCAGATTCCGTCCAGGTTGCGTCCAAGTGACGACCGACTCCGACGAAATCCAAACGAACTCCCCAGAACCGCAAGGACCTCTGGGACCCCCTGAGGCTGCCATGAGGAGTATCGTTTAACCGATCCCCATCCCCGGCGGCGTGGCCTGGGCCCCGCTGGCCGATTTGCCCCCCTAGACGGGGATGTGGGCCGTTCTCTTCGGGTTTCGAGGGGCGTATCCCCAACTGGGGTGGCAATTTGGGGGGGGGGTCTTGAAGGGGATGGAGCTGGGGATGGGGATCGGTGAAACGACACCGACACGAAGGACCACACGAACTGGACTCGACGATCCTGAGAACTCGGGAGCGGCCAAGAGGGGAGTGTCCAAGAGGGGGGGTGCAAATCATGGCTGGCGACATGTGCGCGGCCCTTGGGGGGGGGGCCAGGGACGTAATGAAATAAGAAGAGGTGCCATGAAATGTGGGGAAATATCATGGCCCCCGCCATGATATCCACCCCCCCTAGTCATCACCCCCCCCTTTTCCGCCCCCGAAGAACGTGCGTCAGCGCCCAGCGTGTGCTGGTCCACCGAAGGCCCTCCCCCCGCGACGGACGGGCAGGGCGAGGGAGGCGCGGGCCGCGGGCCGCCCGCGGAGCTGCACGGCGGCAGCACACGTCCGGCCAACGTCAAGTCGGGCGTGTCTCCCGACGTGTCTCCCTACGGGCGTGTCTCCCTACGGGCGTGTCTCCCTACGGGCGTGTCTCCCTACGGGCGTGTCTCCCTACGGGAATGCCCCAAAACTGCTCGAAGATAGTCGAGCATACAGTCGAGACATCGTCCCCAGACTGGTTTGTAACTACAGTCGGGGCGCTGACCTAAGGAACCCTGAATAAGGAACGAGGCCCCAACGAAAAGGGTTCCTTCTTCAGCGCCCCGACTATATCTTGGAATACTCCTCCCTGCAGAGGGACAGGCCCGACCTGGAGGCCAACACGCGCCCCGAGGATCGTCGACTGACTGACTACCTACCAGACCACCCCAATCCAACCCGAAGACCCGACTTTCGGGTTGGGGGGGGTAAGGGTTCCACGTGTGTTTTTTCGATGTTTCCCGACCTCCCCCACTGGAAATCGAGGGTAAATCTGAGCCTTCGGGTTGGGTTGGGGTGGTTTGGTGGGTGGTGACTGACACTGCCGAGGTCCTGAGGTCGAGCAGGTCCCAGACCACGGTCAGCCGGTCCGCCCCGTCCAGGCACAGCCTCCGCCCGGGCCAGTCCCCGCCGGGGCGGCGCGGGGGCTGCACGCCCCTGGGGTCCGCGCGGTTGTGCGGGGCGAAGGGCGCGTCGCGCTGCTGCCGGACCTCGCGGAGGCCAAGGTTTGGAGGCTGGGCGAGGGCCGGCAGATCCGTGGCTGCGGAAAAGGTTTCCCCGGAGGACGAAAAGTCGCCGGCCCAACGGGCCAGAGTGAAGGGGCCCTAGGACACACAAATAAATACACACAAATTAAAAGATTCCCCATATGTTCCCATATTTTCTGAGTTTTTGTCTTCCCCCCCAACTTCCCATATTTTCCCATATTTTCCTGGGAGTCGACGATTAATTGTGTCTGTGTTTGTTCCCCTCCTGACAGAGGCGTGCTAAGATCTCTGGTAACTGGTTAACAATATGTCTAGTTCGCGCGCGGAGCGGCCCCTGGGGCCCCCGGACGAAAAGTACCCCGGCAAGGTCCCGGGAGAAGCCACCAGAGCACTCCAGGGGAGAACCATCTTTCGACACCACTCACGAGGCTCGTGGCCTCCGAGGGGGGAGCCGCAATCTACTACCCTACCCCCCCCCCTCCCGCCCCAAGAGGCCCCCAAAAGCCCCCCAAGAGGCCATGGAGGCCCCCAAGACGCCGCCAAGGAGCCCCGAGACTCCCAAGAGGTCCCCAAGAGGCCCCCAAGAGGCACTAAAGAGGGCTCCAGGGCCGGCGGAATGAGCGAAGCGATTAAATAAACTCCCGGAATCAAGCTCAGCACACGAAGTAGTAAACGGACTTCTTCAGGGAAGAAAAAAACAATATCTTGGAGCTCCCTTGTAGCAGCCACGGGTTTGCCAGCCGTCGACGGGCTTATGAAAGACGGAACGCATAAGGCATACCAACAGTATGTGCCTCTGATGGAGGCGCACGCCCAACCCAGACGTATGGTACAAAATCTTGTCGTAAATCGTTTCCACAGCGGTATGGCTAGAAAGCGCCAGCCATGGAGACTAAAAGGTACCACTGCTAGATGTTGTCCCCCACTACAACGAGCTCTGCGCATCCTCAAGGGGGACGGCGGAACACAATCCAAGTGATGCAAAGCAGGCTTCAAAATCCCAGCAGCCCTTTGGGCGCAGATGGTCTAAAGATATCTGTCTTCCCTCGTCCAAAACCCCCTCTTCCCCTTCGGGGAGGGGTTTACCCCTCCCCCTACCCCCTACCCTGGACCTGGACGGGGGGGTCCGCGAGGTGGCAGAGAGCCCCTTGCCTGTCAAGATGGCTCCAAGATGGCCTCAGAGAGCCCAAAATAGCCTCCAAGATCACTCAAGATAGCCCAACATGGCTCAAGAAAACTAACAACATGCTTCCAAGAGGCCCCAAGGGGACCACAAGACGGTTCCAGGTGCTCTCAGAGCTCCCTCGGGGCCCCCCCGAGAAGCCAAAATCCTTCAAAAACCTATGAACAAATCTGTGATGTGTGCCTTCTCGCCTTTTCGCTTCCGATGCGCTTTTGTGGCCTAAAAATTGGGCCCAAGATGGCGCAAGAAACCTCCAGGAGGGGTCCAAGAGGCCCCGAAGACGGCCCCAAGAGCGCCCAAGATCGGCCCAAGAGCGCCCCAAGAGGGCCCCAAGAGGCGATTTTGATGGCCCCGAGGGGGGGGGAATCGAGGACCCCCCCTCCGTTGATCGATGGTCTCCAAGGTGGCCCCAAGAGGCGCTCCATAGCTCCCAAGAGGGCTCCAAGAGAGCGCCAAGAGAGCCCCGAAAGAGCCCCAAGAGGGCCCCATGAGGGCCCTAAGACGCCCCAAAACCCAGAGATCTCTCGGTTCACCCTAGTTGCTCGCTTTGTTTCCCTAGATGTGTCTCTTCGTCCCTTTTCCCGTCAGCTCTCATGGGCAGGGGTTCTGAACGGGCTGGTGGGAATACTTTTTTGCTCGCAGCCGCAAGCGGAGGCACAGGCGGCGTCAAAGGTCGACCCGGGCGCTAGTGGGAATACTTTTTGGTTCGCGGCTCCAAGGCAAAGGTCGGGGAGCGGACGCAGCGTCCGGGATGCGGCACGGAGCGAATTTGCGAACACAGCCGCCACTGTCGGCACTAGTTGGAATACGCGAAACGTGAAGAATTGCACGAGACCACCTCTTCCAGAAACATGTCGAAAGATCCATCTTCCGCAGCAGACGGTTTACCGGGGCTTGGGCACAGAAAGAAGCAACAAACAGCATAAACACAGTCTCTGCAGGCCGCGCGGATTTCTCGAATTGGCGCAAGGCCCCCATGGCGGCGCTTCTGGCGCCGCCCCATGTCACGCTCCGCGCGCCAGGGAGGGGGGTCCAGCGCCGATCCAAGAAATCCGCGCGGACTTCCTAGAAATTCTGTGAGAAATGATCGTGTCGTGGCGGCACGGGCGTTGGTTTCTGACACCGCGAGGACCGTTATACATTGAAGGATCGGCAGTTTCTCGAACGCCAGATCGCTCCATAGTTCCATATTGGCCGATCCTGGGGAACAAGCGGCGTTCAACCTTGAACGCCCTCAGCGTCGATACGACATAAACAAGCCGCTGGTCCCAGGACCTCTCCCAGGGAGCATTCTAATCAAGATCTCGAGACGAGTCTAGCCGTGGCGACGAAAACCCCCCA